TGGAACCTCTCAACCCCCTTAGAAAGTAGAGGGAATTTGTGTGATAAAAACCCTTCCCATTCTCTTCCTCAAAGAAAAGACGTCTGAGCCAAAATAATCCTTTCTTCTCTTTTGTTAATAGTCCCTTCCCCCACCCTCATTCCTATAAATACCTTCCATTTTGTACAACCCCTTGGAACCCTCCTGGTGGCTAGGTGGGATACTATCTGATTTATGAATCACTTAATACGACTAAGTAGATCTTCAAGTTTACTCAGTTGAAGTTTGTTTTTTTAACAATAGTCTGACAAAGGAGCCAAGATCCCCAAACTGGCTCGGGCTCTATATTCCTTCCAATACCATTTATGAGAATGCTGAGCCTTTTAGATAAAGAAGCACATAAAGCAGTTCCATTTTTAGCTTTTTGAGGAAATTCCAAACTGTTTTCCACAGTGGCTGCACGAGTCTGCATCCCCACCAACAGTGTACAAGGGATCCCTTTTCTCCATATCCCCCCCAGCACTTGTTTGTTGATTTGTTTATGATGGCCATTCTTACTGGTGTGAAGTGATATCTCATTGTGGTTTTAATTTGCATTTCTCTGATGGCTAGTGATGCTGAGCATCTTTTCATATATCTCTGGGCCCTCTGTATGTCCCCCTTTGAGAGGTGTATGTTCAGGTCCTTTGCCCATTTTTTAATTGGACTGTTTGTCTTCCTAGAGTGGAGTTGTATGAGTTCTTCATATATTTTGGAGATTGAACCCTTGTCCAAGGTATCATTGGCAAATATATTTTCCCATACGGTTGGTTCCCTTTTCATTTTGCTGATGTTTTCTTTAGCCATGCAGAAGCTTCTTATTTTGAGGAAGTCCCGTTTGTTTATTCTTTCCTTTATGTCTCTTGCTCTAAGGGAAATACCCGTGAAAATATTGTTGCGTGAAATATCTGAGAGTTTCCTGCCCATGTTCTCCTCTAGGACTTTTATGGTGTCACAACTTATATTTAAGTCTTTTATCCATCTCGAGTTTATTTTTGTGTAGACCCAGCAATTCCTCTCCTGGGATTATACCCTAAGAATCCCAAAACGCCAATTCAAAAGAACTTATGCACCCCAGTATTCAGAGCAGCACAATTTACAATAGCTAAGTGCTGGAAGCAACCTAAGTACCCATCAAAAATGAGTGGATCAAAAAACTATGGTACATTTACACAATGGAATACTATGCAGCAGAAAGAAAGAAAGAGCTACTACCCTTCATGACAGCATGGATGGAACTGGAGAGCATTATGCTAAGCGAAATAAGTCAGGCAGTGAAAGAAAAATACCATATGATCTCACCTGTAAGTGGAACCTAATAAAAAAAACAAAGACGCAAGGAAAATATAACGAGCAACACTGAAAGAAAAAACAAACCAGCAGTAACAAGAGGGAAGGAGGGAGGGGAGTAAGGGGTGACTGAGAGGGAAGGGTCAAATCAAGGAACACGTATAAAGGACCCATGGACAAAGCCAAAGTGGGGAAGGATTGAGAGTGGGAGGTGTGGGTGGGTGGGGCAGGGGAAAATGATGGTGGGAAAATGGAGACAAATGTATTTGAACAATAAAAAATAAATAAATTAAAAAAATATGAAATGGGAAAAAAAGATAAAAGAGCATATAGTTTAAATTAGTAGAGTATGCAGTAACTTTGGAGAAGAAAATATCCTCCAGAATAACTAACCTTATAAAAGATCTGTAAAGTATATTTGTTTCCCACTAGAGAAAACCTTTTTTTGTATCCTATGTAATAACATGGAAATGTGTCCCAGGAAAGGGACTTTAAATGGGAATCAAGGCAGCTCCATTTTCTTCTTCATGCCCTGCCAGCTCAGCTCAAGTCCTGCCTCAGCTTTAGGATGATTCAAAAGCCTTTCAAGAAACAAAGTGCTTTCCAATGGCGCACAAAATGGTATTTTGTATAACCACAGAACCAGCTCCAACTGGTCCTATCCTGTTTTTAATAAGACACTGAATTGCTTTTCAGAGGATAGACCAAACCTGAAAATCATGCCAAAAATGAAGCACATACAGTGGAGAGAATTGTACCCAGAACCAAAGTTAACCCCTCAAGCCCCCAACATCCATCCATGAAACCACAGGACGAGTATATGACCAGAACTTGGAACAGCAGAACCCTTTCAAGGAGCAAAGGGTTCATTGTCCAGAAAGATCCAGTGCTGAAGCCCCTTATTATATCTTACCATGAATGTTCCAATCCTAAAACCCTCTTATTGAAACCTACCCACAAGCACTTCCACATACCAGCCTTGTCCCCGCAACCCCTTAAAACTCTCCCGAACTGAACCGTGGATCTAGGTGACAGATTTGAGCCTTGCCTTCTGTCTCTTTGCTAGTCAACATCACAATAAAGCCTTATCTCAAAAGTCAGTGACATAGGATTGGCTTCTATGTACACTGGGCAGCAAGACCTTGCTTGGTAACACTTGGAGTTTCTCAATCCATAATCATAAGATTATGGAAGAAAATGGAGCAGGAAATAATGGTAAATAAATGAGAGCAAGCTTTAAGGACAGCAAAACAACTTAGTGGGTCTAGTCTAAATATTTTGAAAGACAGGAGAAGGATTTTTAAAAAAAATAACAATTTTCATTTTTCAATAAGCCAGGACGTAAATCAATTGTGAAATAGTTCTTAAGTAAGCATAAAATATGGGTTACACATTTTGAAATGCTTGAAATGCTTGAAAAAGTACAATATAATGAAATTAATAGGTAGAAACACCATTTTCCCTTCTACTCTACTTTCTTTTGCTTTTCTTTATACCCTCTCTCTAAGATGTACAGTGCTTCAACACCTCTGGGTATCATCTCAACCTTAGGTGTTTGTAGGCCCCTATGTCCTGGATGTAGGTAAAATAAAATTAATTTTATTATGAGGGTATATATTTGGGTGAGAGAGAACTGTAAGAGGAGGAAGCCACTGCTTACTCATTGTCAAGTTTCAATGGTTGGGCTTCACAACATAGCCTTTAGCCCAGTTTCCGTATTTGGGATCTTGGCTGGAGAAATGTCCTTCCAAGGCTTATTGGTCAAATTGCCTTTGGGCTTGCAAATTTTCCCTTTTCTGTTACCCTTTTATTTATTTTTTTGCTTTTTTTTAAAGGCAAACCAGAAAAGTTCGTGCATCGACAGGTTACTATATGAGATAAAATATGTCTTGGAGAAAAATGATTTGCAAGGACCCTGTAAACGTTTAGGAAGCAAAAATATCTGTAAATTATATTCCCAGAAAAAATGCATTCGGTCCATCACCACAACCCTTGATCTTTTAGCCCAGGGTAACTTTATTTCTATTTAGGCCACCTGGAAACCTTTCCATTCTTCATTCTGTGAGAAAGGTATTATGGAAATAGATGCCAGAAAGGTGTTATTTGGCCTAATTATAAAGACCTGAAACTGAATTCCCCATCCTTGGTCATGTATCTTTAAGAATAGACAGGCCAGAATCTGTGTTACCAGAGCATAGGATAAACTCACCAAGAGAAAGCAGTTCTCCAGGAGCAGCAGCTATGAAGGCTGCCAGAGCAATTGGAGCAATGGCCGTCTTAATGTTCTGGCTCATGCTTTCGAAGACAAAGCTAAAGGGGCCGCGCTGGGCATCATGACTCCCCCCCAACTACCAATATGTCACTTTTGCTCTTCAAACCTGTGTTGCAGATTACCACCAGTAAAGCCTTGTGTTAAAAAAAAAAAAGAAAGGAAAAAAAAAAAAAGACAAAGGTAGACTCTAGTTTTGGAATAGTAACTTTAGCTAGACAATTTTATCTTGACATTCAGTAACAATTGTACATTCAAATGTTAAATCTTACAGCTGCACTTCAGATTTTTCTACTCTTCATTTAATACAATAGTCAAGTAATATCATTGTGGTAAACTGTGTAAGTTAAAGGAAGTTTCCTCATACTTATAAGTTAATTGGACCTTGAATTAACTTATAGAAACTTACTGAAATAACTGGGCTGATTAAAAATTAATATGGCATATTTGTCCGACAAAATATTTACCTTTTCTCCCACTCTGCACCCCCAGAGGCTAACAGAGAAAAAGTTTTCTAAAGCATGATCATGAAATACAAAATTTTGCAGTTTTGTTTCAGAAAAAAAAAATATTAATTTTTGAGGGGAAATTTTCAAGGTTTCCAGTTCTTGATATTATTCACTAGTCATGAAAACTTAGATATATAAATTTAATCTTCATTCCTCATTGGAAAAGTAGATATAATATCTGCATTGCCTGCTTTACATTGTGAGTTTGAAAAAATGTATAAAAAGCACTTTTAAATGATGAAATATAAAATAATGTTTGTTTGCACTTTACAAATGTAAACCCTGGCCAGTTACAAACAGATACTTACTTTCTTTATTTTGGTCAACTCAATTCCAACGACTCCCACACAGAGCAATGTGACTGCCTTTATACCCACTCTGCACATTCCATTTCAGCATTCCTACGGACTTAGTCCACCGCTGTGCTTGTCTGAAGACACACCTTTATAATCCAGGATAAAATTCACTCCCTTTTACTCTTTATTTTTCAATAAAAAATTTGAATTATATGACATTTTTATTTTACCTTTTAATAAGACATTTTCATATATATCATTTTATTTCTTCAAGCTGCCTGTTTCTAAGAGCAAGAGGTCGCTTGTGAACGCAACCCACCATAACAATCCCTCTTTACATCCCAGCCAAGTGTATGTAATCATCACAAATTCTCTATGGAAGTCTCAACCAAAACAGTGGCATATCCACATTTCCCTAAGGTGCTGTTTATTTTTTTAATTAGTGTTTTAAACAAAAGTGCTAACTTTTCTAGACTTACTTTATGCCATAGAAAGGCTATTTTATTTAAAACTCTAATATACAATTCCCAGTCAGGTTAATGATATTAGAAACAACAACAAAATATCTCGGGAGTACTCTTCGATTTTTATTCTAATTTGATTTACATTCCAATGGAAATTATAAAATGTATTCACTTTACTTTTAAAATGTGACTTAACGTCTTAATGCAAACTATAGAACATGATAAATTTGCAGATCAAAATTGAGCTAGTTGCTTAAAGTAACAGTTTTTTTAACAAGTTTTTAAACCACCATCATCTACCTCCAAACCAAGCATAACTTTCTAATTAGTGATCAGCTGTGCTGTAATAGCGGGATAGCGCTGGGACTTGAGTGACAGAAAAATTGCAGAGCTTCTTCCAAGCCCAGATCAAGCAGCTTTTTATGCCTTCTCATAGTGGCGAACAGCAATTACATCCCCAAAAGTAAGAGTCTGAAAGATTTAAACCAAAAAGTAAGAGTCTGAATCATTGAAAGCAAATCATTTTAGACAGGAACATCAGTAGCTGAAATTTTTAAAAATTATCATATTTATGATTTAAATAGTATGCAACAGAATAATGACATTTACAAACATTAAATGCTGCACAGGCTCTTCATTTCTTAAAACAAAAATGAAATAAAACGCTTCTATTTATTGAGTAAATAACATGTATATATAGTTCATGTCTGTAAAAGGAAAATGAAACAAAAACTGAGATTAGCTATCTAGACTGAGTTCAAAAGAACTCCTTTTGCCTTAAATTATCAGTGTACTTGGAGCGAATTTGCTATCTGTTATGATAGTGAGTGAAATTTTAGTAGGTTTTCAGTTCATGGCCTAGATAACTTTCAAAGAGGTTATAGAAAGTCCAAATTATTTGGACAACTGGTATTTGTTCCAAAATCAGCAGGAAATGGTAAATGCACAAATGTTCTCGTAGCTTTGGCTGCCTTTGGCTGCCATTGGCTGCCATGTTTCAGCCTATGTGACCCTTGGTTCAGTGGATCCAGCGTGGAAGGAACATGGTTCTTATGTCAAATCCAACTTGAAGAATTGCTATAAAACCTCTTTACAAAATTCAGAGCTTTTTAAATGTTCATTATTTTCATGTATCAATATGATTTTCAAGAGGGTGCCTTTATTTATCATCCATTGCTTTAATCTTTTTCGAACTTAGTATTTCCTGATATCACAGTCATACAGCCAAAGCTGAACTATCCACTTTTCTATAGTAGGGGTAAAAATGGAGATAAAAGCATAAAGGAAAATAAAGATTGAGTTTTTCAGAAATGAATCCTTTCTTTTGATAATCACTGCAAAAAAAAATGTGGGCAAATATTTGTTAACATGAACAAAAAACTGTCCCTCTGCTCCCCACTTCAAGCCATGAAAGAAGTGTGAATGTCTAAACACAATATCTCAATCTAGAACAGCTCCGATTGTACTTAAGGGAAAGAGAGTAAATAACAATCAATTTTCTTAAATAACAAAAACAAAAAAGCCTTCTGCTATTATCTGAGAAGGAATATGTAAAGCAACCCTACCCCTCCAAAATAAAGCAAAATAATACATTGACTGTTCCAACATGATCAAAATATCATTATTCAGTTCACACACACACACACAAGTGTCTGGGATGCTAGATTACAGCATAATATTTTTCCCAGTTTATAATGGTACACATAATTAGAGAAATTATTTTTAATTATTTTCTATTTTATAATTTTTACATGACTACCAGTTTTGAATAGGTATGTGTAATCTTATACATTAAAAGAAAGACTGGAAGTAACATCAAGATGGTCCTCTCTGAGGAGAAATTAGAGAAAGCTTTTACATTTTTACATTTGTTATACTTTTGTGTTTTATTATAAATTATCTGCACTGAACTTACATAACTTTTATAAACTAAAATATAAAATGTTTTAATATCTCTTATTTATTACAGGAGTTGTAAAGTAATTTTTTCTGAGATCTAGTAAGCTTGATATTCTTATAGGAACATCAATCATCTTTATATGTATTCATGATTGTTAGTTTTATATTTAGATATTATTTGAGGATTAAGCATTCATTATAATCCTACAAAAATTCTTTTGACACAAAGTTTTAGCTAAACCAATGGCAGCATTTTTTTTTTAACTACACTAAGAATTTTTATCTTTTTCTATAATTAAAGAAGCACAGTTGAGGAAACAATTATCTAGGATGTGTTTATTTCTTCTGTTTTAGACATGGGTAAAGAACCTTGCTAATGACTTAATGTTATTAAAGAAGGGAAGGTGGGAAGAGAGAAGGGGGGAGGGAGTGAAGGAAGCAGAGGGGTTGGGAAGGGGAGGGAGTGAGAGGAAAGGAGATTAGTAAAGGGGGAGGGGAGAATTGCTTACCATGACCATTTTGCCGTCCTTAATTTCTCTTACAAAATTTGTTTCTTTGCCATCCCATTTCTGTACATGAATGAGTTTGTCTCCATCTAGGCTAACAACAGACTGAGAACAACAAAATGCAGAACATAAAAATAGTTACAAATTCAATTTCTGATATAAAAGTCCAATGAAGTGATTTTTGAAAGAAGTCGTATAATTGTGAGCATCTAATTATCATATTAGTAACATATTCCCTGTTACAAAAGCTTCATATATTAGAAATAAAATTCTGAACTAGTGCTTTCAGGCTACTCACCCTTCTCCTTTAAAAAATCCTTAGAATGAGTTAGGCTTTATTTAGTCTATGTTTATTTAGCTTATCTAGCCTATTTATATTTAATTTAAACGGATGCTATTTTGAAAAACAGGTTTGATATATAATATGAAAACATATGGTAAAAAAATAGATTAATGTTTTGAGCAATAGCAAATTCCTGTAGTTCAGAATGTAACTTATACGTGCTAGAATGCAAAATTAGCCCTGATGTTCTCTGAATTGAAATACTGAGAACATTCCCTGCATCCCAACATCTAAAAAATAAATAAATAAATAACATCAGGAATCTCTCTTTTTTTATTCACTCCCCCTTATCCTTACCTTGGCGAAGTGGCTTCTTACCTTACAGTTTCTGTCATCTGCAGTAGTTTCATCAAACTCTTCTCCCAGATGGAAACTAATCTCTGTGTTCTTGAATGTGCTTTGAGTCCTGATCAGCACTTTATCCCCTTCCTGACTGATGATCACTGTTGGTTTAGTCACATTTCCCACCTGCCTAGTGGCAAAACCCACACCTAAAATAGCAAAGAGAAGCAATACAGTCAGCAGCAACTTCCAAAATAGTTCACAAAGCAGAAAACTGTTTTCCTATTTTGGAATCCAGGTCCTAAAGTATAAGTTTCGCTAGAGTGTGTTTAGCCCACTTATCACTCAGTGCAACTACTGAGCTATAACAATATAGAAGATGCACAAGAGAAAACAACAAAGGCACGAAACTTCCCATCCGCTACAGACTATCAGATGCACCATTATTTGGCCCTGGGCAAGAAAGCAGGGAACTGCCACCTTAAAAATCCATTCCCTGGGAAATGCCCAGCCTAGCATCTAATTATGACAATGTGACCTGTCTTTATCACCTGCCAAACTAATGGGTGAAAGAGGAATCTGCAAGTATTTGACACTGCAGGCTAAGAACATGTCGTTTGATTTTTACCCACCTAGAGCCTTCATATACTCATCAAAGTTCTGACTGTCCGTCAGCTTCCAGGTAGCACAGAAAGCCTCCACCATCCTTGCCCTTTTCCCTTTAGCTTTGAAAGCTGATTAAAAAAAAAAAACAAAAAACAAAAAACAGGAGCGAGGATTTCTGAATCCTATTGCAATTCAAAAGACCCCTTTGCACCTCACAGCAGCTCCAGCCTTCTTATTTGGAAAAGTGGCGGGCAGAAAGCCAAGGACTTAAATTGCAAACACACCCCTCCAGTGTGCGTCCCAGGAGGCTGCTGCAAGGGGAGGGGTAGGAGGGGAGGCTCAAGGGAGGTTCCGATCCTCTCTGATTGGCTCAGGCCACTGGGTTAGCGGAGTAGGTCGAGGTCCTCTCCGTCCTCGGACTGCAGCCCTTCTGCCTGAGAAAGCTCGGCGAGGATTCAGTGGAGCTGGAGGCAGGGGACGAATGGCAAAATAAGAGAGGGTCTTTCAGGTTCCGCTCGAAAAGTTGGCAAAGGCAATTTCAGACTGTGAGGAAAGAAAAAAGATGAACAATAGGACATTCAGATTGATTTCCGTTAATGGCAAAGCTGGTTCCACAAATGAGAACCCCCCTTAAAGAAAACCACTGAAATGCCAGACTTTTCAGACAAAGAAGGCTGAATAGCGTCTTTTATTTTCTCTCATATTTACAGGAAGAGCAGAATACAAACTAGGATATGCCAAACTAGGAAAAGAGGGGGAAAGTCTGAAATGCCTTTTCTAGATTGTACAGCTAGAAGGCTATTCTGACTATCAATGGGACACTAAGTTTGGCTGCTTCCCAACACAAAGTGAGTTAATTTAAAGATCCCATTTTCTTTCTAAGAATGTGAGAACCGAACTGAGATGGAAAGGGGACCCAAGGAAGATTATGGTCATAATTCACTAACAAGGTATAAACATAAAGAAAAGAATGTTGTTTTCTTCCTTCAACAGATTATATAACGCATGTGGAAAAGTTGGACAGATCATTTATTAAGATTTTAAATAACCTGCATAATAGAACTTTTTTGATTTTCTAAAGCTACAATTACATACATGCAATCTACAGGTAAGCTGGGAGTTAGCCATGGGGGAGGTTAGGGAACAGAGGAGCTGTGAGAATCAGAAGAGCCTTGACTTCGCGTTGTCCTGGCTCAAGGCACTGCAAGATTGGCAAAGGTCCTCAAGAGTTTCAAGTAGAGGATCTAAAGGAGCTCTGGGCCTCCTCTTCACATAGACGTTCTTCGTGCTCTGCTAGCATCAACCACGAATGAAAAGCAGGCTCCCTTCTTGCTTTCCAGAACAGGGAAATAGGATTTGGCAATCCCTGCTCTTCTCTTTCCTCCCTTTAAAATTCACCCACACTGCCTTTCACTTCTGTCCACAGCAAACACGAGACAAGGCTCAGGACCCGTCTTACTCTAGCTGCCAGCTCCATAAGCCTACTTTGGTATCTCAAAGGTATCTCAAAGGTATCTCAAAGGTGCTCATTGAACATAAACTCAATCCTTCCCCACTCCTAACCTTCCTTGCGGCTTCCACATGTTTGTGAATGGGACCATCAGCCACTCGACTGCATAAATCAGAAAACTTGAAATTATTTCTAATACATTACCCTCAAATCAAAGTCAAGGCCTATCTATTTTGCTTCCTGAGCATTTCCCTAATTTGTCATTGTCCCCCATCTCCACAAACACAGTCTTTTTTTCCAGCAACTGCTCTCTTTTACTAGTCCTATGACAATAGCCACTTAACTGTTCTTTCGCAGCCACCCTGGATCCCCAGTCCTTTCGGTGCACTGAAGTCTAAGTGACTTTGTAAAGCATAAATCAGCATTTTCTTGGTGACAACTGGTACTGAGCACCTTTTCACGTGCTTCTCTGATGTTTACATATCTTCTTTGGTGAAGTGACTGTCTAGATATTTTGTTCATTTTTAATTGGGTTGTTTGTCATCTTACTGAATTTTAAGAGTCCTTTATATATTTTAAATACAAGTCATTTGTCGAGTACGTGTTCTTCAAGCATGTGTTTCTTTTCCTTTTCTCAACTGTGATAACAGTTTCATTAGTGTGTCAGAATTTATCAGTTATGCACGTTAAATATGTGGAACTAATTTGTATCAGTTATTCCATAATAAAAGTATTTTTAAAAATCTGTATTTTCTCTTATCATTTTCCTGTTTAAACTCCAAATGGCTGTTTCCTGTTTTCAGGTTAAAGAGCAAAATTCCTAACATTGCCCAATCCAGACCTGCCCCTAACATTGAAGGACTTCGAGTAAGAATCCAAACAAAAGTTCACATGCCATATGTCTAACCAATAAAAACTATAGATCAAAGGATGCTAATAACCAGCCAGGACTCAAAGCTCACACTGTCACCTGTTCTGACAGGCCACCCTGCAGCTGCCTGTAGGACTGAACATTAACACAGATGTGGTGGGGTGGGCAGGCAGGAGCATGTCTGGAACCCAGGGTTGCCACCCAGTGCCTGAAATCCCCCTACACCTGGGTTTGGGACTCATTTGGACTTGATGTTACTCTGACCTGAATCGGGAGATGCCAGAGGCCACCGTAAAAAACCCCGAATAAAACTATTCACACCCTGTGACATTATCTGAGCCTTCGAACCAAGTCCCTGAAGCCATGAATTTTTCATAAATTCTCTTTTTTTAAAATCTAGATGACTACTTAATTCATTTATGAAATCCATTCTCTATAGTAGAGGTCTTCAGACCAATTTATTTTCTAATATCAAAATATTCTTATACGTTCTATGTAGTGTAACATGTTTAAACAGTAGAATGTTTAAGTATTATTCTAAAATATAAAAAATTATTAATTTTTCATAGTCTTAAAATGTAAGATCATCAAGAGCACAACCCATGTAACAGATATCTTCATCTTAGTTACTTATAGATTGTGGTACCGAAATATTTGTTCATAATCCTTTATTCTTTCTATTCTTTAGATAAGGAATATTAGCTGATGATCAATTTATTCCAACTTAAAGCACACATTCCTATAATTCTGATTCTTTCATATTTTATATAAAATATAAATGCTCAGCAATTCAAAGACAGGTTTTCTTTTTGTTTTTATTATTTTTGTTGTTTGTTAATTTAGTAATAAATGGAAGAAAATATTACTATACAGATTCCTAAAGTAGAAATTTTAGCAAAAACCACTTAACTACATTGTAATTCTCTGAATTGACACACTTAACCTTACTATTTTTAGTCATTCTGTAATCAATAGATTTATACCTAAGAATGGTTGTTTTCAAATAGTAAATTTGCTCTGATTATTGAAGATTTTAATAAAAGAGAAAGTGAAAAAATAGAGAAGATACTGTTTTTGTACTAAGAAGATTTATACTAATAGGTATTTTTTTCCCAATTTTTCCTAACTTAGGAGCAATTTATGATTGTTTTTGTGGCTTTTATAATACAAATGTACCTAAAGGCTTAAAAAGGGAAAGATTGTGACAGATGGACTCTTTTCTCAGGCAATAAGGACTCTCAATAATCCATTGTAAATATTTTTTTAACAGCGAAGTAAAAGTAATAAATAAAGAGTAGTTGCTTTGGGAAATCTCAGCAAAATTTCCATATGGGGCTGAATCTCCTGACATCTGCTTTATGACGATTTTTCCTTCTTATGAAAACAGAAGGTATTATTAAATTTTTATCACTGTTCTTGAGAAAACGAAGCCAAACAAAGCCACAACACTTTCTTATAAAATATCCAAGAGAAGTTAAATGACATTCAAAGTACTTGCCTGAGGTTCTTTTTCCTACCAGATTATACAATAAAAAGGGTAATAGAGTATTTCTGTAGTTGGAAACATATGATTACATAATATGATTGCAAACTCTCTCATGTTAGACAGTAGACAAGATCAGACAACCCCCTTTTCTGAGTGAGCTCAGTTGTCTGTCTCATGCTCACTCATCCTTGTACTCCCTACACCAAACAACAGACCAGCTAAACAAGCTTTAGGTGCAAGGAGTGATGATTCCAGCCTTCAAGTGGGGGTTAATGCGGTATGAGTAATGGAATTGGATGAGAGTAGGGGGTGTGAAAAAAAACAAAACAAAACTTGTGAATTATGTCCCTTGATGCTGTGAAATTTTTATATTATTGCACTTTTTAAAATGCGAAGTAGACCAGAGAGAAGATGCACCTCCAGGTGTGGCATTCTTGAAGAACATTGTTGTACTTCTCTACTGGAGGATGAAAAGCTAACAAAGACAATAGGATGAAGTATTGACTACCTTTCCTATACCCTCATTGTTTCTTATTGTCTGCGGTTTTTCCTCCTTTTATTTCCCATTAACTAAGTATTCCACTTCCCATTTTTTTCTTGGGTATAAAATGTAGAGGAAGTCCTGGACCTGCTTTTAGACCTGACAAAGTGACTTGGTAGAGAAGTTTGTTCCACGTTTTTTATGCAGAAGTTTTAAAACCTTCTCTCCCCAGCTGTTTGCTTATATTCCACTATTCTGACAAGAAAACTCCCTTCTCCAGCACTGTAGTGAATTTATACTTGTTTTTTAGAGGTTATCTCAAATATTATTTCCTCAGGGAAGACTGTTTCAGAATCTTAATTGTGTCACCCCATGGTTTTATTTATGTCTTTTTAAACATACTTTAATTTTAATTAAATACTTCTATAATCAGTTGTTTAATATCTTTCTCCCCCATTAGGATATTAGCTCTCTGTAGCATCTATTTTAGCATATTTTTTTATTCTCCATTGTGCTTTAAGTCCATTGTCTACAAGAGTATAAAATCCACAATGTTTGTTCAATGAATGTTAACAGTATAAACCAATATATAGAGTGAACCCAAAGAATCAGGGTATTTCAAAAAAAAAAAAAAGCAGGAATTTGAACTATTGTCATATGATTTTTTCCAAGTTTCTATCTCTTCGCAACATACAGCATATAATCCGCCAGGAAGGATATCTAAACTTCTTCCTCATATCTCTCTTGTTAATTTTGGGAGAAAATTAAGGCTCGTTTTCAGGATTTTTTTCTTTGAAGTAAAAGCTCTTAGGGTAGTCTGAGAAAACATCCAAGTACATAATGGATTTACTAAATGCAAGAGTAGGAGACTTTTGTGACATGCTGTATATAGAAACTTGGTGCCAACGAGTATGCATGGAAATTGTACT